GTGGAAGCCATTTAAGAGGGATGGGTTACCAAATAATTTTAAATTTACAATGCACATATTTACATATTGATGAGATTTAGTTTTGTATCACCATTTTATATAGCTTTTTATTAAACTAAGGTAATAAATAATTCATATAGTTATGTATTTGGTACTTTGAATATACATCTATATGTTAATAATGCACCTGGGTCACTATTTAATTCACATCTGAATTATCATATTGTTAATTATAGATCAATAAATTTTCTAAATCTCAGCTGCCTTTTGTAAATACAAAATAATTCCAAGTATATCATAATTTTCACCAGGTAGAATAAAGTAATATAAATGTTTTTCACACCATAAAAATATTTAAAGGCTACAAAAGTAGTGTTTTTCGAAAGATAAAAATATTTAAAGGTAAAAAAAGTGCTTATCATAAGATACAAATATTTAGAGGTTAAAAAAGAGAGCTTTTCTTAAGATAAAAATATTTAGAGCTCAAAAAAATATCAATGTAAATTAAATATAAATATTTTAAAAACAGGTTTCTACTATTTCCCTTAAAATGTATCTTTAACTTTTCATATACCTTACTGTATCAATGGTCCGCTTGTTTTTAATACCCAAATAGAGCATCTTCATTGCACTTGATTGCCTGCCACAGAAGACAAAGGATATCGGAGTTGAGGAGCCTCGAAGCCAGACCAAATCGAACTGAATCCAAACCGCCTGTCACGGCTCATTAAGCTCTTAAAGGCGAAAAGGATGAAAGGGACGAAATGCGAAATAGGTTCCACCCTAATGGGCGCCCAAGTGGCAATGTGAATGCGAGTATCTTGCGGATGTGGCGAAAGTAATGCAAGGATCCCAAAAAGGATCCCACAGCCAACAAGGAGACAAAGTCCCGGGCAGTAGACATGCGAAATGTCAGTAGTATATCATTTTTTAGTGAAGTGCAACCGCAGCAGCCGCAAAAGGGGCGGACGGACGGGGGGCGTGGCCTCGACCCAGACCCCCAGACAAGTGCACAGACACAAAACGAGCGAGCACACACACACACACACACACACAGATATTTGGCCAGACACAGATACACACACACAGATACAAGTACAGAAGTTGGCCCAAAAACGCCCGCACTTGAATTAAACATCTTTCACATTTCGAAATTGTACGTAGAATCCTGCTTTCATATGCACCCACACACCGACACAGTCACCCACACACACGCACACACGTCCTGCATATGTGTGTGTTAAACCAATTTGTCTGACTGCCTGCAGATGTGTTAGTGAGCCTGCTGTGGTTTTTGTTTTTGTCTCTCTATGCGAGGGGGGATCATAAAGTCCGAAAAACAGGCAATATAATGTTGTAAAAATATCTAATCTTACAAAATTTCCAACCTAAAATATAATTATTTATATAATTATATCACTTATTTCATTATGATTATTTATTGGTAATTTCAAGATCCTTTTGGATGTTTATATTATAGTATATATATATATATATATATGTATATAATAAATATAATATTATTATCAGTATTTTTATCAAGATCATGTTTGTGCTTCAAATATAAATATCCAAGAGGATCTTAAAAACTACCAACGAATAATCATCTTAAGGCTATTTCCCATAACTTTACTTTAAGACAAAAATTTTATTTATTTAAAAACAAATATATATATAAATATAATAAATAAAATGTAAATATAAATAAAATATTCTAAATATATGATTAAAATAAATACGACATATTTTTGGAAATATACCACTGCTTATAAGTGTGCTATGTTAAATTTTTCTAGCATAATACATAATAATTAAATTTATTTAATATAATTTGAATAGGAATTTCATATTTCTCCTAAATTGATAAATATATTTATTATATATTTTAAGTGTTCTTAAAAAATGAATATTTATAGAGTGATTTTAAAAGCTTTTAATAAAGAATATATTATTGGCTAATATTAACATAAGTTAGCCCGTTTATAAGCCAATTCAAAATTTATTTATTACTGATTTTTTGATTCACTTTAAATATATATCAGAATGAAATAAAAAAATCGTATAATACCCAAGAACCTTTCGATCTCCCCTCCGCAGTTTCAGTCGAAAACTAAAGCAGTTTCGTGGGTGGGGTGAAATTTTATGCGAGCAGCTGCTGCCTTTTTCTTCAGCTTTTCCTGCTAAATTTCTTGTTGCTCTTTTTTGGCCATCTTTTTGATATTAGCTGCGACGCCGACTGCGCTGCGACTGCGACGCCTTCTTGGTCGACGTCTCCTTCATAAGAAATTCATAAGTATTTCCGCTTCCCTGATTTTTGATTCGGTAATTAAAATGCAACTGAGATTGCGCTGCTCCACGTGTGTTAGCTACTTCTGCACATATATATTTGTGCAGCCAACAAACATTTTTCTCATAAGGCAGACGTGGAAAACTTGGCGATGTTTTTGCCTAGTTGAGGTGTATAGATCTAGAAATTCATGTTTCCCCTTTTCTTTTGGTGCCACTTTATCCCAATATTAGTTGCAAGCAAATAAAACTACACATTAAATATTCAGTTTAAATTTGAGAGGCTTATTGTATGGCTTTAAATATGCCATTATTCTTATCTTAACAAACATGTCTTAAAAAATTAATTTTTAGAACATGTGTTAGTTTAATAGAAACATTGTTATGAAAATAACATAGGTATTTAATGCTTTTAAAAATAAAAATTTGAAGTCAACAAGTATTTCATCTTAATGTTTTCCTAAAGTAAACATACGGAAATGGATAAAAATCGATGATTTTACTTAAAAGAAAAGTCAAAAGAAATATTTTTGGCAAATCATTAAATTCATCAAAATATACCAATAATAATTCAAAGTATATTTTGAATAATATTACATATATAACAAAAATATATAGTTGATAAGGAACATTTAAATATATTTTATAAGTAAAATAAAAATATCCATTAGGCTTGTGAATTAATGTTCAAAAAAATATTTCTCAAAAAAAATTCTTTTATCAAGTGTTAAAAAATGAGTACCGCCAACGATTTATGAAAAAGAATTCAAACTAACCAAACGAAAATGTATAAATTTTATAATTTTATCGAATTATTAAACTTGGTTTATTTTAGGACAATTGTATAATGAAACTTAACTCCTTTAATATAAAAAAAACCTCCCGTGTCACGAAACATCGTCCGTCACTTGTACACATCAAATCGTGATTGTTTTTGCCAACTCAAATATTTAGATATATATACGTATATAAACAGGGGGTACAGATGGGGAAACACACGCGTGGGGCTGTGGAAACTGTTTTTCCAGGTGCTCCCTGGGCCCGACAGCTGATTGCTTTGGCATTGCAAGTAGTCGAGCTTTGATTACTCGAACGGTTTCTAAGCACCAAAAGGGGACCCAGACCACCCGGCACAGCCCACACCACCCCCAAAAACCCAGCAGAACCCACCCTTTTACAGGCGGACCCCTCATCATTCCGTTTGGTTCCATTCTGGGGCAATGCAACAGTGGCAAAACGCATTATCTGCTTCAGCTGTCAAGTGGAAAGTGGCAAGTGGCGGGGGATAATCGGGGAAAATGGGGGGAGGGGGGTGGAAATGGGGGAAAGCCGGGCAAAATGCGGGAAATGCGGGAAATCGGCAAGTGGAGAGCGCAAAGCGGAGCTAAAGAAATATATTTTGCAATTTCATTTACAAAAGTTTATCTTGGAGTGCGCGATTTGCGCCAGGAAACGGACTGCGATTGCGACTGCGAATGCGGCCAGGTCCCACAATCCAGGTGGAGGAGGCCCTGATCCAGGTGAAGGACCAGGCTCAGGACGAAAAACATCAAACCATCAAGTGTCAAGCTCGAGAGGTCGAGGTTTTGAATACCCTTACCCACAAACTGGGAGTTTCCAACAATTCGCTTCGTAAGCCCCATAACGAGAACATTCTTAGAGGCTCTGCATTTATTATACATAATTTAAAATTGTTTTAGCTCAAAAAATATATCAAAATGATATTTAGGTAAAGAATAAACACGAATATAGATTTTACATAAAGTTCAAAGGTATCTTTTCATGGATTGGGTATATTAATTGAGATATAGGAAATATATCTGTGCTTATTCTTTGCCGCCATATAAACAGTGTATTTCAGCGGCACATCAGTAAACAAATAACCCACACAAAATAAAAGACAACATTTTTTTGTATTATCTATTTATTCTCTGCCGTCACATAAACAGTGTACAACAGCGGTACATCAATAAACAAATAACCCACACAAAACAACAGAACATTTTATTGCATTGCTTGCCGATCGCTGATTTAGTGAATAAATACCACCGCAGGCGTTATTGCATTTTTAAAAATGCCTTAACGCCTAGCAGACATTATTCTAGTTCTTGAAAGATTTACAAAAAATTAATAACTTAAATTTTTAAATAGTATAAACAGGTTTAAATTTAAAATTTATAATTAGTAAGCTCATGAAAGATTAAAAACTTCCGAATTTTCAAATATAAAAGCTTACCTTCTTACATTTGGGATATATAACTAATTTAAATGTATCACGTTCAATAAAGTTCGATAAAGAGGAAAAATATTTATTAAAAAAGTTGCGCAAGATGGAATAAGATTATATGTGGCCGAGAGATCAGGATTATCAGATACAATGGATCACCCCATTTTGAGCTTCTCCCGCATTCGAGTACACGGTACCGTATACTTAATATCCTAGTGTTAGCCCACAAATGCAAACACAAATAATAAATAATATAAACGGTCAAAGCCGACATATATATTGACACATGTTAATTTTCAACCTCCACCAAATATCTTGGGCCCCGGTTGTGTGCCTAACTTGAAACTGTTATAATTTATGGCAAACCAAAAGATTACTACGAATTTTAACAAATATTGTAACAAAGCCTAAACGTTAACTGTTCAAATTTTGGAAAATCCAAAGTCACCTGAGAGTACTTTGAATTTTAACAATCATGGTAACAAAACTATTGATCTACAAACGGATGCTTGAGCACCTCATCGATGGTGAGCCTGTTGTTGGGTTTCCTCACGAGCAGACCCTCAATCAAATCCTTGGCCTCTGGATCGGTGTCTTTTATCATTTCCTCGGGATAGTTGGGTCCACCACTCAAGATGGCCGCATAAATCTCATCGAGAGTCGTGTAATCATCGGCATAGGGCAACCTTTCGTAGAGCACGTGAAAGAGGCTAGCGCCCAGTGACCAGGCGTCCACCTGGTAATCGTAACCACGTTCTGCTATCATCTCGGGAGCCATGAAGCCGGGGGTTCCACAACAGGAGCGCAGCTTGCTGCCCTTGTAGAACACGGCCATGCCAAAGTCTGTGATCTTGACAGCTTCGACCCCAGTTTCGGTTGAATATCTCATGAGCATGTTGGCTGGCTTGATGTCCCGGTGGATAAGTTCCATTTCCTGCATGTGTTTTAAACCGGCAGACACGTCTTTCATCACTTTTCTGGCATTCACCGCCGACATGGGACCGTACACCTGGATCACCTCGTCGACATCCCACTCCATGTACTCCATAACCATGTACAAATGCCTCTCATCCTTCAAAGAGTACATCATTTCCACGATGTTTGGGTGCGACCTCAGCAAGCGTAGTACCTCCACCTCTAAGTAAGGATCATCCAAGTTGTAGTCCATGTACTGCTTGTTTACCATCTTCACGACGCGCTTGGTTCCATTGCACCTCCTATATCCACGGAAGATCACCGTCCTTGGGGTTTGCATAAGGGGTTGCAGGTGCTTCAACTGCTGACGAATGGTCTCGGGCAGATCCGTTGGCTTGACGTTCTCCAGGGTATCCCCATAGATCCTCCGTTCGTCGCAGCGGGTCTGCAATTCCCTTTGCTTCTGGAAGTCCTTGTTTACAGTGTACTCAATACGAATCATCTCCTCGTACTGGCAGCAGCAGATCAGTATGTCCCCCTCGCCAATGCAGCTCACCGATTTCAAAGGAGTACCATCCAGATGCAGGATCTTCTTGATGGCCGATCGCAGGACCACGTGGCGTCGCATGGACTCGGTAACCTGCTCCATCAGGGCCTGAAAGTCCTTGTTATGGGTCCTTGAGATTGCCATGTTGAGGCCTGCGTAATGACGGTCTCCGTTGCGAAGGAAGCACACTCGCAACGCCTTCAGGGGGCGGCGTTGCATCCGCCTGGCTTGTACACACTTTTCTTTCCCAAACATTACGTGCCAAAACGTGGAAAAGTGTAATATATACCCAAGGTATTCAAAAGTAAAAAATATGTATATGTTTTACTATGTATTACTAGCTGAACTTTACTCGTGGCGATCGCTCGGATAACTGAGCACTACGACTTTGACGTTCCCCAACGAAAACTTTTAGTCGTGGAAAGGCCTCCTAGTGTATAACATTTATTTCTTCTTTTTAAGAGGGGTACTTATAAATAATAACTAGCTCTTTTGGAGGTCCATGGCTATGGTTGTGGTCAAGGCTTATGTTGAAGAGCTCAATAGGCTTTATGACACCTTTGGGGAAAAAGCGAATGGGCTTTAATGCACTTTTGAAAATTCAATTGCGCCATTAATCAGTTTTGTCATAAAATTCTATATTTACACATTTAGTAAATATAAATTCGGACAATCCAATTCAGATTGTTATTTTTCTTAGAAAAAGACTGCAAGTTATTTTAACCACAATTCATGACATACTTTGATCATGAATTTTAAATATTTTTATTAAGGTCAATACAATTACTACAGGGGTGTACAAAACAGGGTAATTATTTTTTATTAGCGAAAAGCCCAATAGGCCCTATTGCACTTCTAACTAAAAAGCACTTTTGAAAATGCGAGAAAATTCAGACGTTCTCATCTGAGTTAAAAAGGTCTCAAAATTAGAACGACATCTTTGAAGTTGAAAATGTTTTCATTTTGCTCAAATTAAGTTGAATTGGCGGTATTTACATTTGATATCTGAACATATTAACTATAAGTCCAGTTAGTCATGTATCCATATCAATAAGTGGTTAAACAAACTCAATTTTACTTTTCTCTTCTCACCATTTAGTTATAATATTGAGAACAGTGATACCAAAATGTACTTACACGGTTTTTAAGAACGAATGTTCTCAATTCAAGAACAATGTACTTGAATATTTTACTCTGTGTACTTAATAGACGTGACTTAAGACTTCACCAAATTATACCAAAAATTGTATTATAATATTTAACAAAAATAAATTTGAACAATCTACATAAGTTAAATTATTTAAAAAAGACTACAAGTTTTCTTATCCGCAATTCATTACATACATCAAAAAATTCTTCAAATAATTACATTGATCTTGAATATTAACTTTTTCGTTTTGGACAATACAAATGCTACAAAATAGGGTAATTATATATTATTATCTAAATATTTCTTATGTCCGATAACCAATAGAAGGACAGAAACTCCTTTTTAGGGTATGGAAAAACGAATGAAAGAAAAACTAATGGCATCAAAGAGGAAAATCAAATATTGCTCAAGTGCCACTGGCAGCCGCACCACCAGCAAACCGCAACAACAACAAGCCGATTATCGTGGAAAACCGTGTAAGAAAACATGCAGATGGTCCAAAGGAAAGTTTTTGGCCACGATAGACCGCAATGCTGCCAGAGCCAGAGACTCGAGTCTCGAGTCTGGAGATTCCGAGATGAGTTTCGAGGAAAATAAGTGGGCGGTGGTGGAAAACGGGGGCGGGGCAGTCGAGCAAACAGGGAACAAGTTTATATGATTTTGATGAATTTCCGTGGCAACGGGGCCAAAATGAAAGCGCGACTCGATAAGTAGCAGTTAAGATTTCGCTGCTCTTCTCAATATCCGCATGGTCAAACGGGGGTGGTGGCGGGAGTTTTTCCACCACGGCTTACCTTTGAGTTTAATATCAGGGAAAAAGATGATAGGAAAATGGTTGGTGGGGGGGGGGGGCAGGACCTCCTTCAGTGGCACTCTGCCACTGGAAAGTAATTTCCTGCAATTTAAACTAAAGAAAAATAAGGAAGCGTCTTTGATTTCCGCGTGAAATGATGTGGGTGGTTCCCCAGCCCCGGGTGACTGACTACATGGAGAACCCGGGGCTGGGGGATCGAATTAAAGTTGATTCAATTTATTATTAGCCGCGGCTTATTGGATAGCTGCGAGCACTGCAAATCGCAATGCCAGGATGTCGATGTCGCTGCTCCGCGTCGGAAAAATAAATCGAATGAATGCCATAAGCCGAATTAATCGAATACTCGTTTGTTGAACCGAAGATTTTTAAAAAATACTTGGGTGAACTACTTTTAGTCACATTCTGGATGGAAGAAAAACTATAGTGGTTTTATTTTAAAAACAATAAATAAAATGTCTTGATTGTTATTCTGTTAAAATCTACTTTGCGAAAAAATATACTTATTTTAATGCCTAGCATATGAGTAAAAATTAAATAATGGATGAAGTGAAATTTCTTGTTAAAATAAATAATTTTAAAAATGTTATCCAAAACTGAATCAACTTTTCATTGAAATAATAAGAAATCAAATGTTATTATATATTTAATAATTATTGTATTCCTTGTTTAGTGCTGATAATGAATTGATTGCTTCTATTTTGTGCCGGACGGTATAATTTTTTTAAATTAAAAAAATGTTGAATGTATAGCATTTTGAAAGGACTTATAAAATATTATTTAAATATCATCGATGCGACAATTTATAAAATATATTTTTTATTAAAATAAGAACGATAGCTCTTTTATGTACATTTCTTGGGATTTACATTTGAATGCATCTTTTTTAGAAATAATAAAAACTGATCAAGATCTTTGTTACTTTACCAGATTGGAAAGTAATTTTAAAAAAAAATTTTATTTTGAGCTAATAATAAATGAGCAAACATTGTAACATATGTGTAACCTAAAGCCTTGAATAAAATCTCTTTAAAGATTAATAATATTTTATACAAACCTTAGCTTAATTTCGCAACCTAGCAGCTGAAAAATATTTGTTGCTATCCAAAGTTCTCAGCCAGTGCCGATGCCAAAAATGCTAACCTATCTGTAGCTGCTGTTGCTACAATTTCGCCCCGTTTTGCCCATTTTACCCATTTTTTGTGTCACATGGCAGACACTCCTCCCCCATTTAGCCGCGACACCAAATGAAATGCCTGAGGGCAGTAAATTTAAGCGGCCGGCAGGAGTTGCTCCTTGTTGGCCAAGTGTTGTTGTTGGCAGGACGAGCAGGACGAACAGGGCGAGCAGTTGAGGAGTTGGCCAGCGGAAACGGCAATGGAACGCGGTTTTGGCCACGTGGCGAGCGGAGTATTTACCGCCATGTGCATAGTTTGCAAGTCTGCGCGGCGACACCTGCAGGAATGGTCACCCCGAACCGACAGTCCAGCCCGGATCCTCTAGTTCTCTACGCCCCAAGCTTCCCCCAACTCCCCAGTTCCCGCAGCCCATCGAGATCCCGGGACCAGACTGGAGAGCAGACATGGCCACTAACAACATCAAAAAGTGCCAAGTGCCAAGTGTTTGCGTTGGTCGCCAAAACGCGGCCCTACAAATTGTTTCTCTTCTCCTGTATTTTTATACCCCTCAAAATGTCAGGTATTTTAGGGCTATATTTGGAATCGAAAAGGTAAGATATATTTAATTTAAAAATATTTTTAGAAACTAAATTAGGAGACCGAAAAACCAAGAAACAGAAAATTTATTTTATGCGTTGTAAAGTAATTTTTAAAATATTATGTCTTAACCTAAATTAATAATCCCCATCACTTTAAGGAACATTTGTTTTTTCGCATTTTGTGTATTTGGAATCGAAAAGGTAAGATAATAATTTTACAAATATTTTTAGAAGCGATATTAAAAGATGGAAAATCTTAAAAACAGATAAAAATATTTTTATATAAAAACAATTATTCACATTGTGTCTGCGTTGTAAAGCAATTTTTAAAATATTATGTCCTAACCTAAGTTAATGATCCCCATCACTTTAAGGAACATTTATTTTTTCGCATTTTGTATATAGAGTTTCATTACATTTCTCTTGATTAAGATATTATCCAAATATACTCTTAATAAAGTTTAAGTATCATGAAACGAATTAAATGTTACCATAAAAATTAACAAAAGAAAGACTTTTGGGATTGGTGTAGTTATAGTCCCTATTAAAAAATAGCTTAATAAATATTTTTATGGTACCGAAAGTAACCAGTTTATAATTGAAAACAATATTTACTAACTACAATAACATAATATTCTTAAAATAAAAATTTCATTATCTTAAACAACTGATATTCTGTTACATGTTTATAATATATGTTCTTAGCAATTTAATATGATTCTGATATTTTTAATTCTATACCACAAATACAATTAGAATGGGTATTATATGGTCGTTCTTTCCAGTAAAGTGTCCTTGTTTTTAACCGAGTGACATTTTTCTTTTTTATTTACGGAAGGGGAGTGTTCAGCCCTAATGTGGACTGGTCCAAGTTTCCTTCTTCCTGTTCCTCCGTGGTTTTTTTAAACTTTTTTCGTTGGCTTGTTTTGTTTTGTTTTGTTCACTTGTTGGCTACTCTTTTATGCACATCGATTTTCGCTCAGTGCTTTTTATTTGCCATTCTAGGGAGAGCGGGGGAGAAAGGCGGAGAAAGCGGGGAAAGGTGGAACCGTACATTGGAGTTGTTTGTTTGGCACTGTTTGTTTATGTGCCGTAACTGGTTGGTGAGAAAAGGGAGGATAAGACGAGGGCGGCAGGGGGGTGCGGAAAAATGTTGAAAAAAATAAGGAAAATTGGGCGTGGCCAGGGGGAGGGGAGGGGGGTTGGCCAAAAACCCGGCACGGCGACAAAACTTTTTAAAGCGACATTTAACGATGCCCTTAAGTTGAGCACAACACTTTCCCAGGGCCGAGTGAGTGCCACATGAGTGCATTCATTTACTCAGCCACACTCAAACTGGAAATCATGTGTCCAGCGAGTACTCACTTGGCACCCAAAGCAATTAAAGTGCATCCTTGGTTGTATAAGGAATGAATTTCAAGTTAAAAATTACGACCTTCGGTTGAAGTGATCGGTTCTCGGTTTGTGTATCTTAAATACACCTTAACATGGCTTTTCCAAATGCAGAATATTGTTAAATGAAGAATACTTGACAGAAAAACCCGAAATCTTGGCGTTGTAAAATAAAACCATCTTTCATTTTAGTTAATTATTCTTTTATTATTTGTATTCTTTCAAAAAATATACTTTACAAATAATATTCACTAAAATATATTTTTTGGAATTATAAATATCCATGAACTTGTGTTTAAGCTGGAAAATTAACACCGATTTCTGTATTATACACAGGTCACCAATAATTAGTGGATTTATAATAAAGAAAGTTATTATTTGATTTATGGACATTCCAATGATCCCAATTTGCAGTCTTAAAACTTATACACATATCTACTTTTTTACTGTATCTAATTTTTCCTCATGGTCTTAAAATTATTTCTTATTTTTATTGCGGTGGCAGTTCATTTCGAAGACCATTTAAAAATATTTCCTAAATTATTGCAAATAAATATCTATGCTACATTGTTTTTTATATCTTTAAAAATTTTTTTAAAATAATTTCAAATAAATAGCCATGCTACATTGCTTTTTATATCAAAAGGCATTCAAAAAGTGTGTTTCTAGAGTAGAACAGTTTAGCAATAAAATATTTTATTTTGTGAAACCTTTAAGTTACATGCCACTAAAACGTTAGAAACTGCAAATGTATTGGCAGTTAATAAAACTATTTGGGCCCGGCTAACAAAGTTTGCCGAGTAAGGTGCCCTTTGTGACACTGACGTTTTGGCAAGTGGCGGATGGTTTGCCAACGCTTCGAGTACGGCGACAAATCGTGGTACAAAGTCAAATGCACTTCAGGCTGGGGGAAAACGGTCGGAAAACTAAAGGAAAAGCTGTGGAAAATTGCCGGCGATATAGGAGTGGCTATGCGAATGCGTGTGTAGATGTGATGATTCGTTTTGCAATATTGCATATTGTGCGTCGCACTTAAATTCAATTAAGCTACAAAGGCAGTTACAGAGTACAAGGCAGCCAGCTCGAACCATCGCACACACGAGAACCGGGGACCACAAGCGTCCAATAACCCATCAGCTGTCGCGACGGGAAAACCCAGGGTTTTCCAGCACCACCTAGCACCACCATGAACCACCCTGCACCACCCTGAACCACCCTGAACCACCCTGAACCATCACCCACTAAAGTAACGCTGGCTACACTCTATAGCATTGCCCTTCGTGCACTCACTCATTCACTCATTCATTGATTCATGCACCAATTCGCCCAGCCATTCAAGCCGACACTCATTCAATCATTTCTGCCGAGTCCTCGACGATATCGCTTTAGTTTTCACTTGCAAAACGCTTCAGATGGCATTGTAATTTTTAGCCAACTTTTAATCCCGCAAATGGTTTGAAACATATTGTTAGGCTGAAAAAATATAATTTACCAGCCTAAACTTTTTAAAACTGACTCTTAAAAAATCTACACTTAAAAAATCCATTTATTTTATTTTTGCTTGTAATATTTATAATTGCACTAAAATACATAATATACAAATTTATTCTTTTAAATAGTACCATTTGGTTTTCTTTATGTCGAAATTAAAGGACCCTTTTTTGATATTTTCGATATTATAAAAATGTACAGAACGAGTCCATTCTTAATTTATATTATATTTTAAGCGTCAATCCAACCAACTTCATGGCTATAAAACGCATGAAAAAAAAAACATGAAACACCTTATACAACAACATAAATATCTTTTGCTAAAAATAACTTATTGGCTTAAAAACATTATAATATCTTAGTTTAAAGAACTATATGATGGATATACATGATAAGCTAATGCTATTATTGTAATACATTTTTTTAGCATACCATATATAACACTAATGTATAACTTTTTTTGGGACCTTTGAATATCCTTTTACTTAAAAAAAAGTTTATAATTAAGTATGTATATGTGTATGTATGTGTATGATTAAGTATGTATATTATTACACATGTTAAGTGTTTTATTATTTTATTAGATATGAGCACTGTCCATTACTGTTTATTAAATAACATAATAATTTTATTTTCAATAACTAGATGATTATTATTCTTCATCCATGTTAAATAACTTTGCTTCAGTCCTTAGGACATTCATTCAAGGGTAATGTTTTCAGCCACGATTAATGCATGCTTTCAATGTTGTTTTCTGTAATTAAGCGTTTTACGATCTAATGGGATATCAGCATGACCTCTTTACTTTTTGAAAAACAAAATCCAACTTGGCTTGCCCTATTTAAACCCGATGAAGTGATTATCTCCAAGGACTCGCATTTTTCCAAAGGGTAACGTATCTCCTCATCTCTTGTTTGCTGTTGGCGGGTTAAAACTAATGCCATCCTGTGATGGGCGTTGGCTGGCCTTGTGGGCGTGGCAGCTCTCTAATTTCATTTACACGCTTTTCAACGCTCCCCCATCGCTCCAATCGGGCTCCATTTAAATGTTTGCCTAGGTGCGGCCCCCCAACCCAGCCGCCCAACCACTCACACAGATACTCAGAGGTAAGTAAGTGGAACTTCCGGAGCTATACTATAATGCCTGGTTCGCATACATCCTTGGGTGCTTTCGCTTTTGAGCTCGAGTTTGCGTTTGCATCTCGCAGATGCCTCGTTGCCATGTAGAACTAATTCCATTAAAGCCAGCTCTAACTTGATTTTCAATTGACTCCTCATTTGCAGTGGTGCGGTGGGTGGTGGGTGGTGTGGGCTGGATTCGGTGGGTCAGGACGCGCTGTCAGCAATCAACATGTTCAATTGAGCATATCCTGCCGGCTGCAGGACACTGCCATACTGCCATACTATACCAGAGAAATGTGATTACCCGACGCTATTTTCCACATACATCCGTGCAGAGGCGTAGGCAGAATTCCACGAATGGGAGGGGGCTCAGATCTTATTGGGGTACCTAAAAATAAGCCATTATTTTAAAAATATTCGATAAAAGTTTGAAGTACTTAGCGTGGATACCTTAAAAATTGTTACTTTTTTCCTGTGCTTAAAAATATATATTTAATATAAAAACCTTTTTTTAATTAAGCTCATGCTTAAACATTTTTTTGCATTAACAAGTTTTTTTTAACAACACTGACAAGTCAAGTAATTAGCTTGGAGAAGCTTTCAGTTGAATCGATTTAAATCAAATCAAGCACAAGGAAAATTGATTCTTTAATCACCGAGAATTCTTAAGAACCAGCTTCCAAAACTTGGTAGTATGGTACTTCTAAAATTGGAAGCATATTCTTCCTAAAAAATGATTTCTTAGGAATGTGTTAAGCCTAAAAATATATATTTTCAAGGAATATTTAAAACATAAGTTAAGTTTTATTTGATTTAAAAAAAATGTATTACAGTTTTTAATACACTCTATATTTTCTTAGATTATGAAAGATTCCTTTAACATGCATTATAATTATCTTTATATAATACCGTACTAATAAGTTATTTTAAATAAAAATTTGATACTTCTTTGAGGCCTTCAAAGTAACAGAATTTTTCTGGATTATATCCACCCCCTCTACTTACGCCACTGCCTCCTCCCCGACAGAAAGAGACGGCGGATAAGGGCGTAGAAAGAGACGGCGAACGAGAACACAACAGGAAGAAGGTCCAGCGGGCGCCTTTTACATTTCATTGGATTTTATGCGTTTCACTTTATGCTGATGTTTTTATTATTAAATTTTCTTGAATTTTCATTTACATTTTCTGGCTTTCTTAGCGCTCGCTCTATCTCCATCCATCCCGCTCGCTCCTGTTCCCGTCTCTGTTTGGTCGTTAGTGTTGTCGCCGATGCTGATGACTCCTCTTCATTTTCACACTTTTCATTCAATTTATTGCATTTCGCAAATTGAGTGTCGCTTTCCTTAGATCTATTCTCCCTGCTGTTTCGTCCTGGCCACATCATCCTGTCCTGTTTTCCCACTTTTCTAATTTTCCAAAAGAGACAGTGCGAAAAATGCCAAAGAAGCACCTAAAAAAGAAGCCAATTTGATTTAAGAATGGAAAATGCTTAAAAAGAACGAGGGCTGGCAGAGCAAGTTAATATATATACTTCTGTATATAACATAATAACTATAAAAACTCTTTAACATATCTATAAATATTTTAAAATTACAACTAGATTTAAATATTAATCACACAAAATAAGTTTTTCAAATCAATCCCGTTTTTCTTGATATTTTTGGAGTTTTGAAATATCGATACTGAGAATAGGGTTTATTTTGATTTAGATTACAAAAAGTTGTTACATGCAGTTTTAATTTATTTTCTTAACAAACTATGAACATTAAGAAAATTTTATTTTTGGACCACTATCATTTTTAATACACATTAAAAAAGTTGAAATGAATTGGTAGAAGTAGTAAGTAGAAAATGTTTTAAGATAATTTAATTTATCCAGTGTGTGTTACTTATTTTCCATTTATTTTTCCATAACAATTAAAGTATACAAAATCAATAAAATCTTTTGTAAATTACATATATTTCCCCAAAGAATAATTAAAAATGATTGATGTCATTAATTACTACCTAACTAAGGGGCTTACCTAGAGATCTAGACGTACAGTGCAAGTTTCATGACAACTATGTTGTAATTGAGTGCCACAGCTCCATGGTCATGCATTTTTAGCTAGAACTAATTGGGAATTATAAGTACCCATTAACGAAAACTTTTTGAAATTAACATTTTTGAGGACGTGGGCAGTTGCTAATTATTATCAATATTTTATTCACGCTTTTCATCTCCCTTTAAGTAACCTTTGGGATATAGTTCACAGATCGAACGATCAAAATTAGTAGGACCTTTGGCTTTGGCTGGAACGAGCCTTCGAAAAAAATGTGAGCCAGCCCCGTATATTCAAAATTACGCGAAACCATATTGCAAGTGCAATTCTCAACGGAACTAAAGGTCTGAATAGCGCAAAGTAGAAAACCAGGACTCGAATCTCTGACAGAATGTCCAGCGAGCAGACCGACCGTCAACCGGAAACGGAAGGCAGCCACGAACAGGAAACGGAAGCAGAGCCCGAGGCCCTGGTAGCCGAAGTGCCCTCGATCCCCAGTGTGGCCAGTTCCGTGGAGGAGAATGCACCCAGCACCAGCCGAACGGGGAAAACCACCGCACCACTCAGTGGTTGTGTGGTGCGAATCAAGCGCGAATTGCAGGACATTCGAAAGCATCCGCCACCGAATTGCACCGCCGAAATGCAGAACGAGGATCTCTTCCGCTGGACGGCAGGTGTGAACGGGCCGGCTGGCTCCGTTTACGAGGGCGGTCACTTCCGGCTGGACATCCGATTTCCGGCCAGCTATCCCTTCCGGCCGCCTCGCATCCGGTTCACCACCCGAATTTACCATTGCAATGTGGACAGCCGAGGCGCCATTTGCCTGGACGTCCTCGGGGAACGATGGTCGCCAGTGATGAATGTGTCCAAGGTGGGTTCGATTCCATATGAGTTTATTTAATGTATATATAGGATACGATCTAGTTGTACAGGCTATAGTGGTTCTACATGGTTTTAAAACACCGTATTAATAAGATCTGATTATGTTTACTTTAAAACAAGGATGTTTCTAAATTTCTAGTTTTATTTCTACAATTTTTTTTATAAATAAACTATGTAGTAAAAGTGTATCTGTAAACTATGTTTTATGTATATTACATTTTGTTTAAGAAACTATACTTTAATTTAAGCTTTATAACATTTTCCAAGCTTACCAAAAATATGTCATTATCAAAATGTTTAATTTTCTTTCATCACTTTCTTATATAAATCCTTCAAATCATTATAATTATATTTTTACAAATTTTTTTATATATATTACATTTTTTTTATGAAACTTTACTTTAATTTAAGCTTTAAAACATTTTTAGTCTTACCAAAAATATGTTATTATAAAAATGTTTAATTTTCTATCGTCACTTTCTTATATACGATATAATTCGTAATTCCTCGATAGCTTAAAAAAAGTTTATTTTTAAGAAATAATACTAAAATGTTTAACTTTCTCTGTCAAAATACATAAATTTACATTTTTTTATATTTTTAAATCTACAAGGTTCTGCTGTCCATTTACGTGCTGATGAGTGAGTGCAATCCGGATGATCCGCTGGTCATGTGCATTGCCGATCAGTACAAGACCAATCGCAAAGAGCACGACAAGATCGCCAGACACTGGACCAAGCTGTTTGCAATGACCAAGGCGCAGATCAAGGATGGGGAAGAGGATCAGGATCAGAGCCAGGTGGAAAATCAGAAACAGGACCCAGTGGCAAGTCAGTCCAAAAATTAGCAGTCAACAAAACAGCCAATGGCCAAGGACCACATATAGGCCTATACTTAAAAATTACCAATAAACCCATAACTCATTGGAACATATAAATATTATTAACATTTTTCTGAATCCAAAAATCATTTTAAAAATATTTTTGGCTATAAATTTCAAAGGGAACTTCTTAATTGGAATGATTGATTAGTAATTCCGCTTACCAAATATACTGTTCCATACTTTTAGGCAACTTTAAAGGAGTTTTCAAAACGCATATGATATTAATTATTATTACTTTCTCCAAAAGGAACCCCTTGAAAAATATATTATTTTCTTGTCCAGAGCCGATAGAAATTCAAATTAGCAACTGTGAAAATGAACACAATTTTATGGCGCTCTAAAATCTAATCCCGTTAAGTACGATCTGAACACAATATAAATATTAAAGTGTTCCAAGCCGTTTTCGAGGGCACTTTCTTCGCTTTAATGGGTTTTTTGCAGGGCCGCAAATGTAAGCCAGTTGAGAGCTTCTCACCCTTTGACCCCTCGAACTGGCACTTCAAGGCAAGCAGTTTTCAAAATACTCCCGGCGTAATGTGCCACCTCGAATACCCCGTCCCCCCCCCAGAATTGCTGACTGTGTCAGATAGTCCACGCGGTCCTTTGGCCGCTCATGTCTATGAATATTCATGAGCTGCCAAAAAATGAACGTTGGAAAAACATCCACGGCCCAATGGACCCGTGGGTGGGTTGCTTTTGGTTAGCTTTGAAAAATGAATTGGAACGCGAACGGTTTAAGGATGCCAACACCTCCACCAAGATGGCGATGCAGGCCATCAGCGATACAGGACACGGGCTCAAAGGACCTCGGCCAAAAGGGTTTCCACGCAAACGGGGTCACCTCAATGGAGTGGGTGAAAATATTCAGGCGGGCTGGGCTCTTCAAGCCGGCAATCTTTAATGCCCATATGGCACTAAACAGAGAGCGCGAAAGGCAAACACAATTAATGTCCTGCGAACAGGAAGGACACTTAAGGCAGCCAGGAAGATAATGCATAAGAGCACAGGGGGCTTCAAGAAATCTCAGGAAACTCATGCATGTGTAGGGCATACCATCGAACCCATTAATATGCAGAACTTATCTATTGGAACTATCTTTTGATCTGTCCTTTGAAATAATATTACTTTTACTATCCTAAATTTGATAAGACTGGAAAATATATTACTGAATTACAGTCAAAACTAATTTACAGTTTAATAAACTTCATATAAAAGTCGATTTCATATTTAATTTATAATAAAAATATATTTTATATACAATTATTTATTACAGAAAATGTTTTTAAAACCTATTATAAGTATTAACACTTGCTTAATTTAATATATAAATGATAGGGCTCCACAAAAATATTGTGCAAATTATGGAATAATTAAAAAAGGAATCTTTATATCTGAAAAATAATAAAACACCTGAGACTTTAAAAAAATATCAGAGATATCAAAAAGAATATTATTTTTTTCAAGAAATTTATATAAAACCTTTCTTAAAAAAAGTTTACATTTTATTAAGCATAGGTATACAAACTATTTGATACCCATAAACAAGTAAAAGTATTAAAATGAAATATTGGATACCCATAAAAAACCAAAGGTATTCAAATAGAATTAATAAACAATATTATTAAATTCGATTGTAATCATGTCATGATGGAATTTCTAACGAAATTCAATACAACAAAACATCTGCGCATTTGGTCATCACAATAAGTGACAATATTGATACTGTCAGTTAGCGGAAATGCCAGAACGCACAGCAATCTTATGGGTCCCAGGGTGATGAACGCATAACCCCAGTGACGGGACGGCCCCCACTACCCCTCGAGATCCATGGGAAACCGAGTCTGGCCAACAATGTCATCAAAGTGCCGAGTTCCCTTCCAATATCGCCGCCCATTCCCTGTCTGCCGCTTGTCTGTCCCTTATTCCCCGACAAGTCAAACGTTAATGAACTTAAAGAAATTAATTAAAGTGCCAGGCCACCCAACACCCACCACCCACCATCCTACCACCCACCACCCACATTACCCACATATGGTGCACATACAATACATAACATACATAGTGTATAAAGAGCTCGCAGCTTAACGCCTGTCCCGATGCCCGTTTATTGGAAACGACATCCGGGCTGGACGTCAAAGTCCTTGGCCATTCGCATCGCATCGGATGGATTGGGATGGGATAGGATCGGATGAGGACGGGGAAGGAGTACTGGAACGAGGATGAGGTTGGAGATGAGGTTGAGGATGGCTTTCTGCCCGGGAAAATGCAATAAAAGCAAGTTGCTCGCACCGAGACAACTTGACCGTTAAAAATGAAGTCAGCCGGGCAGCTGGGAGTGCCACTGCCTGAGAGTCAAGTCCACTCAAAACGACAGAGAAAATGCCCTTCATCCATAATACTCAAGTATTTATATCATTTTATTACTTATAAGTACTCACATTTTATAACCATTGATAAATCACTAAAAAAACAAACATGCTATAACTGCATTTTCATTTTACTGTCTGTCAGTCAAGTAATTGTATCATTGTAATAATATAACATAATATAACATTATTAAAGTAATAAAATTTAAAAAAAATAAATCTACCAATTTTGTTAACAATAGACGTTTTTAATTTTTGTATAAATGTATAATACAACTTTTGATATTTTTCAATATATCTTGTGATTTTGTATAGCACTTTAAGCAACAGTTTCATTTTAAATATTTTTGTACCCACTTTTAAATACGAAACGGCACCTAATTTAATTTTTAAAAAAATTTCATTAAATTTCCTTATATTTTAATAACCTAAATTAATTGTAAAACAATTTTAATTGATTTCATAATATTTTAAAGGCAGTTTAATGTCAAATGTAGTACCCTAACTAATTTAAAAAAAATGTAAGCGATTTTCTTTCATGTCAATTATGGTACTTTATTATTATTTTTCTAAATTTTAATTCATTGCGAGCTATTAAAACTTATTAACATATGCTTTTTTATAAAATATTGTACTATATGTATTTTGTAATATTGTGCTATTTCACATATTTGAAAACACAATCTCGTGTTAAATACAATAGTTAGAAGATTCTGCTTTCAATTTGCATATAATAGAGCTCTACCTTTTTCCATTCCCTCCAGTTTGGACAGTCAGTTCGTAGCTTCAAATGGGGCGAACCACGAAAGTGATGACTTCATTCGAACTTCCTGCACCCCTGCTCATTAACCCCCTGATGGTCCCCTTAACCCTCGGCCGCCGAACGTGTCAACTGGGGCAGGCGTCGCTGCATTCGCGCCCGGCTAATGCCAGTGGGTTAGCCGATTCCAATTGCCAATTGGCGATGGCCGGCAAACAGGCAAATAACTTGGACAATCCGTCAGAGCTTCGAAAGGGGATTTGGATGGGTTTTGGATGGGTTTTGGGCATATGGGATGGTCCGCCTTGGGTCGATAATCGCATTGCGTATTGGGTGTCCTGTGAGTGGGCGGTTAATTAGGAGGTGGACGACCAATTCCGAGGACTTGGGAAACGGCGCCGCATCCGCGAACCGTTTGCGGTGCAATCCAATTCCCATTTACTGCAATTCCCATGGCGAGCTAATTCGCGACTGCTAATGCTCCTTTGAGTTTGCATTCAAATCGAAATCTACAGCTTCGCTAAATCGAGGGATCAAAGGTTAAGCAACCGAAACTTGTTCACTGAGCAAAAATATGGGAAAAATATTTAAAATATTTTATGGACATGCTCTAATTTTATAAATAGGTACCTAGAACTTTTGCAAATTCTGTGACTAAAATTCATCCAAAATTATTTTTCTGAAGGATGCAATTTAACCTAACTAAATATAATACTCTTTAACATACTTCTTAAACTTTTACAAGTATTTAGAAAATTAATTACAATAAAATACATACAAAACTTTAGTTTTTAAATAAATACAAAGTACAATACTTACGAATTAAAAACTATTTTATTTGCAAAATATCTTTTGAATGCTTATTTTATCATACATCTAGATTTTTTAACAAAACAATTGTTTCATGCAAGGGTCTTAGTTAATTGTACCATTTTTAGTTCATACGAAAAATATATTCATCTAAATTTTTCAGTTCCCATCACTGGTCTTAAATTGTAGTGTATAACTTATCATGTTCTTTCCTAACTTCGTAAATTCTTCAACATTACAAATATTTCAAAATATAAAAAAATACACATTAGAAAATATGTGCTAATCCTGATGATTTTACTTTTATTTAAGATATGTTTCTAAACATTTTTAATAAGATTAAATAATGTGCATACATGCATTATATATATATATATATATGCATTTCCAATTAACTTTTATTCTTGAGACTTTGTTATCAGAAATTCCGGAATGGGAACTTGAAAATTAATAAACTCCCATCTCCGGGGACGAACTCCATCCACCTTCCAGCCGATATACCCCATTGTCGTGTGTCACATGGCAATAAATATTGCCGCATGTTAAATGTTTCGCTCGCCCCTCGCCCGACGACGATGGGTTGGACTTGACTGCTCAAACTGGAGGATTGAGGGATTCGGGAATTGGGGAACTGGGAAATGGGGAACTGGGGGATTGGGGGTTCCAGGACTCGAGGATTCGAGAATTGGGGGCACCCAACCCGAAAAGAGGGGATGGCCACTCGCCGATATTGCACAAAATTAACAAATGAGCCCGACAAGCGTCCGGCTGATGAGTTTCGATGCCCACACCCCCCGGAAAAGCCGCCCGAAAAGCCGGAAAACCCCCTCGATTTCGGGCAGTTTCCATGGCCAGGGGCCGGAGTCGATTGAATTCCGTGTCAAACGGTTTCTGCACTCTCAGCTTTTATTGAATTCCATTACAGATTCATGTCCATCAGGAGGAGTAACGTCATCATAAGGGCCATGGCAGTATGGCAGTTTGGCAGGTTTTGCCCGGTTTGGCCGGTTTGTTTGCCTTTTCGGGCCAATATAATGAACACCCACCGATTGCTGTCATTAATGTTAATGGCAAATTGTTTTAGAGCACCGACTTCTGCCGGTGACAGTGTGACTGCG